TCTGAGACTCCATATCATGAACGAATATTCTGAGGATATTTGTGCCTCTGATGAACACATTAACAAGACCCAGTAGCAGGTTCTATCTCAGTGATGAGCATAAATAGTATCTAGAGACAGCAGTAGCTTGCAGATGCCAGGAAAACCTCTGTGATTGACAGACTGCTCATCTTACGGGTAGAACCTATAGTAATATTTGAATGCATGCCTAAATGTCATTCAATTGAGATTTGCAAAAACGTTTTTCCCCCTTCCAAGTTCACAGACCCTCTGGTCTACACCATCAGTTCTCTGGGGATGGCTGAGTTCTGTGGGGGTGGGGAGGGGTTGAAGTGAACGTTGGCCAGTTGCTGGTCTGGATCCTGCCTACTCCCTTCCCAAACAGGAACCCTCTTGTGGCCCTGGGCTGTGGGCCTCTGCCCTGTTGCCCTAGAGGAAGACCATCCTAACTCCTTATCACTCAAAGGAGGAATGGGAGAAGCCTGGTCCACCGGCTTGTGACCCCTCCTCAGAGAAAAAGGGGGGAATCTGCCCCGGAGAGCGGCGAGGAGGGAAGGGGTTCTTGGACTCCTGTGGGGGCACTCCTGGTGCAGGGGGATGGGCCTAGCTCCCCAGGAGACCTCGGTGCACCTGCCCGCTGAGGCAGTCATCCACCTACCTCAATTTCCCTGCCTGTAAAAAGAAGAGCCACACTGCTTTTCTCAAACTGTATGCGAGTGGGATTCTAAAGCTTGGAGCCCCGGGAAAGTGGGCACGTGGGAAGTAAAATCCATGTTAGAGAAGCAGCAGGCCCAGTCCCCCCCACCCCCACCCCACCCCACCTCGGGCCTTCCCAAATAACAGGTGCTGGGGACTCATGCTTTGCTGTTACAAATGATGCTCACCACCTGCTGGCACAAGAGGCTACGAGAGCGAGGGCTGGGGCAGCGGCACCTGAGCTGAGGCTCGAGCCGCTGTGGGGGACCCCAGGTGGGCTGCAGTAAGGAACAAAAGCAGTCCAGCACTAAACAAAGAACCATGGCACCTGAGTCAGAGATCAACGGAGTTTGGCAAAGGGAGAGAGAACAAAAACTGCCAGACCTCTCCCCAGGGCGCAGGATCCTGGGTGAGCGGGCTACAGGAAGGCAGCTCAGGGCTCTGCAGGTGGCCCAGTTTCGGCCTGGCCTCCCAGAGCAGCACTGTTGGGACGCCACTTAGCGGTGAGGGGTCTACCCCAGGGTGGCGGGCTTTGGGAAGGAGAAGGCCACTGTCTAAACCCTCACCTTCCTCCTTGCACCTGCGGGGATTAGCCATCTTAAAAAAAAAAAAAGAAAGAAAGAAAGCTGGCTATAGGGCCCCACAAAGTTAGGTAAGTGGGAATAGAAGTGTTTGGGAACCGTGCACACTTCAGACACACCGGTCCCCATTTCAGTTACACCTTGGACTTCCTCCCGGTGGAGGCGCCCCAGCCTCCAGAGTTCTTTGCTGGCCTCAGGCCGAGACAGAGACAAGCCCCCAGGCCAGCGAAGCCCGCCTTTCCCAGGCCGCCCCTTACCTGGCTTCCCATGGCTGCTGTTGCCGCGACCCCTAGGGAGACGGCCCCCTCCTGGTGGCTGCCACTAGAAGAGAAACAAGCCTGGCGTGGGTGGAGAGCCAGAAAGGAACCGTGTAACCCCCACCCCACACCCTAGACCCCTGGGCTCCCCTGTGCCCGAGGCCGGAATAAAGATGGTGCCGCTGGGGGCAGGGCAGCCACAGCAGGCGCCGACTCACCTGGGCTCCCCGGCTGACTCTGGCTGCAGCTCTGCTGGGGCCTGCAGCGTGGCGGCTGCGGAGGGGCAGGTGGGGTACAACTTACTCAAGCTATGCCCCCTTCTGTGGGGTCCTCCGGTCCCGCCTGAGGCCAGCCCTGCCCCCACCTCTCTAATTCTGCGGCTTCGAAGGCTTTCTCACCTCCCTGCTCTGACAAGGTTTCTGACAAGGTTTCCCTCCTGCTTCCCCTCCTTGGGTTCCAGCCCTCTCTGGTTCCTCACCTTGCGACAGTCCCCCCCCCCCCCCCCCGCCGTCCCCCTCCGCGCCCAGCTTGGGACGCTCTCCACTCCAGTCCCAGGCCCACCACTCCTGCCTTCCTTCCGCCTGCCTCCCCTTTCCCAGACTTTCTTTCCTCCCGTTCTTCACCCTATCCAGCCCCACTCCCCCGGTCTCCGTCCCGCCCCCTCTCACCAAGTCGCTGCACCTGCAGGGACTCCCCCGCCGGCTCTGTCCCGGGCAGCCAGACGCACGTGAGTAGCAAGCAGAGCGTGGGCGCTGGGGCTCCCATCGGGGCTCGTGGGCCGGCACAGAGGGGACGGGCGGGAGTGTGGGGTCCGGCTCCCGAGGAGCCTCTCCCCGGTTTAAGTTGAGTCACACCTCCACTTGGCGGCTGCCGGACCCTCGGGTTCTCTTGGCCCAGCGCTCCCTTAGCCCCTCCTCCCAGGCGATTGGCTCCTCCCAGAGCTAGAGCCACAGGACTGCCCAGCTCATTACCATAAGTTTGGCCTTGGCCCGGGATTTGCCCTTCTTGGGTTCACAACACTCAGCCCTAAATCCCCTGGGAGGGCAAAAAAGATTACCTGTGCAGCCTGCAGCTCCCCTGAGCTGGGTCCTGGGAGCCCCTGACAGCAGACACCCTAGACCCCGCTGTGAGTGTGGGGCTGCCCTCTCCCTTTGCTGAGGCTGGGACACACCACCCGTGGTCAGTGGGCGGTAGCACAGCCGAGACTCAGGCCTGTAGGGTTTCAGCCTTGTGCTTCCGCCACTCCCCACTACAGCTGCTGCCTGGGTCCCCGAGTTCTGAGCACCTCTTGGGAGTGACTCATGCCTCAGTCCTCTGAATGCCAGCACTAGCGCAGAAACTGCTAACTCAGTGTCGGAAGCGCCTCATATCCCCATATTACTGCTCCCAGCAAAGCCACTCTTGGACAAAAACAACTTGACCCTTGTGAATGGTAGGACTTGCAAATAGTGTCAAAACAGGCCAAGGGGCCGGCGCCAGGGCTCACGTGGTTAATCCTCTGCCTGCAGCGCCGGCATCCCATATGGGCGCCAGGTTCTAGTTCCAGTTGCTCTTCTTCGAGGCCAGCTCTCTGCTGTGGCCCAGGAGGGCAGTGGAGGATGGCCCAAGTGCTTGGGCCCCTGCACCTGCATGGGAGACCAGGAGGAGGCACCTGGCTCCTGGCTTCGTATCGGTGTAGCTCTGCCCGTGGCGGCCATTTGGGCAATGAACCAACAGAAGGAAGACCTTTCTCTCTGTCTCTCTCACTAACTCTTATCTGCCCAAAAAAAAAAAAAAATTCGGGCCTGAGAATCTTTTCACTTTGGCCAGTACTAAAGGATGGCCAACTAGCTGTGAGGCCTTGCAGATAATTATGGAGATGATGGCAGGAAGGAGAAGGAGGAGGAGAGTGGCCCAACAGATCCCTAGGCAGGGGTATGGATTTGGGGCGCATTCATTCATTCATTCAGCCACTCAACAAATTTGCTGAGCATCTATTTTGTTTTATACACTGTTCTAGGCCCAGAGTGGTAAAAGAAACACACATAGCTGTCCTCACTTAAGGTACAGACAGGAAGAGGAGAGAGCCAAGGATGATGCCTTAAAGATTACGCTGGATAATGGGGCAGGTATTGTGGCGTGGGTGAGGCTGGCATCCCTTATGGAGACTGGTTCGTGTCCTGGCTGCGACACTTCCAGTCCAGCCCCTGCTGCAGTAATGATTCCACCCATTTGGGAAACCAGGATGAAGATGGTGGCTCCTGGATTCAGCCTGGCCCAGTTCCAACTGTTACAGACATCTGGGGAGTGAACCGGCGGATGGAAGATCTCTCTCTGTGTCTCTGTAACTGTGACTTTGAAATAAATAAATAAAGCCTTAAAACACACACTGGTTTAAGAAATAAGCAAAGGCGGGTTGTCTCCAAGAGCAGTCCTGGGAAAGGACTCCAAGCTGCTCTCAGGGCCAGGAAGGGAGCTTCGGCCACACACATGGATGGGGTAGCAATCCTGCATTCCTCACTCTGCAGGTGACCACTTGCCACTCTGCTGGACTATGGAATAAGCAGCCTTATGAAATGCAGAGAATCACAGAAGTGTGTTGGAGGGGAGTAGGTTTTATGTGATCTTCCCTGGACCCTTGAAAATTTCGCTCGTCTGTCTCCCAATAACTTAGCCCAAATGAAAACAGTCTACTTGCACATCAGCGATTAGGGGCGGGACACAGGGGCCCCATGAAGTTGGGACGGCGCTGTCCCCGCCCCCTGCCATGGGAGAGGATCACACTGGGTCAAGTTCAGGCACAAACTACACAGCTGAACCAAGCCCCTCTGCATTCACTCACTTGTCTCATCTATTCCCAGTCTCCTCTTTCCTCTCAGGCACCCGGGCCTGGGTCAGCCTGGTCTCTGCACCCAACAGCACACACAGGAGTGTGAATTGAATCAAAGGAGCCAGAGGGTCTGGACCCTGGGCAAAGGTCAGCCATAATTAATCAGATGTCCCTACCTGGCCCCTGCAGCTCAGTGGCTGTGTCTGTGCCTAGTGCCTTTCCGTTTTGGTTTGGGGAGGGGCACTAGTTCAGGCCCCTGCTAGCCACAGTAAGACCACCTGGCTTTCAAGGAACAGATCAGACAGATTTCTTCCCCAGCGCCTGGCGAAAGCCACAGGTGGGCTGAAGGTGAGGGGTGCGCCTGAGTGACAGTCGCAGGAGGGCGTGTGGAGCTTGACTTGCGTATCCAGGGGCAACCGACAAGATAACCCTCCCCGCACCGATGGGAAGAGACTCCCACAAGGAAGTCCCCAAATCTCCCACCCCCGCGTCTTCATGAGCTCCTCCTTCCTCAACCACCCCTGTTGGAGACTCCTCCCCAGAGAAACGCCAGCACCAATCAGCCCCGCTTCCACCCCCAAGCAGGAGCACTTCTGCTCCCTGGGCCTCGGGGGAGGGACGAGGAGCAGGTGTCCCCCGCCTCCCGGAGGCCCCGCCCGGGCCCCGCCCCCGCCGCGCCTGGGCCCCGCCCCTCGCGCCGAGGGTGGCTCCGCGGGTCACTGTCGCTGCTCAGGCCAGCTCCTGGCTGCCAGGCCCCCGCAGGAGTGCGGTGTGCAGCGACGCGGCTCGATCCGACCCAGCCATGGACCGCAAAGTGGCCCGGGAGTTCCGGCACAAGGTGAGAGCTGTGTGGGGGCCCCTGGACTCCCAAGTCCCCAGCTGGAGAGGGAGGGGAGGGACACTCCCTCTGGGGCTTTTCTAGGCCGGCCTCAGGGTTGCCATCAGACACCCAGTGAGATGGATGTGAAGAGCCCTCCTTGGGTGATCTCCTGGGAGTGTTCTTTCTCCTGCTCTCTGGGGACTGGGAACTCCCTGGCCTCAGGACTCCTTCCAGACTTGGCCTGAGACACTCTCGAGGTCCCCCTCCCATGGGCAAATCCGCATCCCCCCTGGCACCCCAGCTCAGGGCCGTGGGAGCCTGCGGGGGAAAACCAGGAGACTGTGTGTGTCTCTGCTCTTTGAGCTCCAAACACGAGATGGGAGCTTTCTCGGCCCTTGTCCCCTGCCTACTGGCATTTCTTAGGGCCTGAGAAAAGGCATGGGCTGGTGCTGGCCAGGCTGCAGGGGAAAAAAGTGGGGCACTGGGGATGCCAGATCTGGCCAGCCACTTCCTCCAGGCTGTGCCCCAAAGAGGGGCTGCACTGTGGCCCTGGGTCCCCACAGACCTCCCTGGAAGCGCCTGGATTCCACCCAGGGTGTTTCTAGAACTGTGTAGGGTCTGCTGAGGCCCTGAGGCCAGAGAGAGCTCTGGAAAGAGACCCAGAGACCCGGCCCCCAGCCTTTAGGATGCCTCAGAGTCTGGGGTGAAGCCAACCATGTCTGGAGCTCCCCTATGTAGGGGCCAGGTCTTCCCAGAGGGATGGTATCTTAAGACCAAGCCTTCCAAGGTCTGAGAGACAGAGCCCAGGCTGGCAAGGCCAGGGATAAGCCCCTGGGGGAGCCCAGGGAGCCAACCAGTGAGGGGTCCACCAGGGCTTGAGGCCACCCAGTCTGCACCACAGACCTCACGCTAGTAACTTCCCAGGGCGGGGAACCGATGTGGGGCCCAGGGTTTGGACCCCCTGAGGGGAAGCTCAGCCCGGCAGAAATCACCCCAGTGGAGGCCTTGGGCATCCGGGACCCTGTGCCCTGGGGTGGTAGATAGCTGGGAGCTCAGCAGGACGTGGGGGGCCGGCAGGTGTCCAGGGGAGCACGTGCTAGGTGAGATTTTGGCCGCGGAGGCCCCTGGTCAGGTGCAGGTTTCGGGCAACCCACTGGGCAGGAGCTCAGTCTCCCACTCCCGTGGCTGAGACTCCGGCTTGAATTTCTATCCCCTGCCTCTGCAAGGAAAGTCAGGTTCTCTGGTGCCTTCCACCTTCTGCTGCTTTGGAGAAAGTTTTCCCCGGGCCCCGCCCTGCTCCTCTGCATGGCAGGAGTCACCACCTGCCCAGGCTCCTCTGGGCCTGGACTTTGTGCCCTGCTGCCTCCCACACTGCAGCAGCCAGCAGCCTTCCCCTCCCAGCTTGGGGATCACCAGGAAGTGGGGAGGGAGGGTGACGTGACCGAGAGAGATGGGGACGCACAGCTCTGTTGGAGGAAACTTACAGCTTGCATCTGTCTCTAGGTGGCCTTCTAGATGTCCCTTCCTTCCCTCAAGGGAGTGAATTTACCCCGGGGCTTGGTCTGTAACCTGAGTAGCACTCTGTTTAAGGTAGTGTGTTACAATGGAAAGTGCCTTGACCTTGACTGTGAGCCCGTTACTTAACCTGTCTGTGCCTCCTTGAAATGAGGATGATGATACTTGGCCAATAAAGTGAGCACGTGTGCTGAGTGACATCCGCGTGTGTGTCGGGAGCTTCAGTAGTCCTTGGCACTCGGGGAGTCCTCGGCCAATGCCCGCCATTGTCACCGGCAGAAGCAGGGTTAACTCTCACAACCAGCGAGGCCTCAGGCTTTGGGCAAGCCCTGAGGTGGGAAGACAGCAAAGGAGTAAGCCAGGATGCAGGTGCTGGCTGCTCTGTGTCCTGCAACCACACGGCTCCCTACCCGTGCCTGCTGTGTTAGCCAGTGGGCAGCAGGCGCCTGTACCTCTTTGCTGGTGCAGGCTCCCCAAGGCCTGCCCAGCTACAGGGAGCAGCCTTGGGCCACAAGGAGGCGACTTGATCAGACACTAAGGTTTTCTCACCCAGAGAACCAGCGTCGCAGAAGACGTCCCCTTCTGCTCTTGGCGCCTGCGTGTGCCAGGAACTTGGTTACTCATTGGCTCAAAAAGTATTTCTTGTGTGTTCAGCAATCATGCATTTACGAGCGTCTCTGGTGTACTCTGCCCGAGGCCGGGCATCTGAGGGTGGGGTAGAATGCGTGAGAACATCAGACGGAGCCCCTGCTTTCTGGGGGTTTGCCGGTTAGCCATTCATTCATGCGTGCCATAAATATCAATATTGTGCCAAATAGTGATACATGCTGTGCACAAAACCAACTGGGATGAGGGGGAGACGAGGGAGGATGACTGGTAGTCAGGGTGGTCAGGAGGGCTCTCTGAAGAGGTGAGATCTGAGCAGAGACTTGGCAGGAGTGAGGGGAAGAGCCGTGGGGTTATCTGTGGGAGAGCACTCCAAGGTGAGAGAGCAGCCAGTGCAAGGCCCTGGGACAAGCATAGGCTTGGCCTGTTGAGGGCCGGCAGATAGGACAGTGTGTCGGAGAGATTACAGAGTGGGGAGAAGTGGAGGTGGGGCCCTGGCATGTCGTAGCCAGGACTTGGGGTTTTATTCCAGCAGGGAGTGGCCAATCTATATTTTAAAGAGTTTCCCTGGCTGTTCTGTAGAGAACAGACTGTCAGGATCAAACGTGGCAGGGGGACTCCTGAGCAGTCCAGGCCTCAAGCCCAGGTGAGATGGAATGGGGCAGGAGACACATTAGAGGTGGAACTGGCTGCCTTGGCTGATGGGTTGGCTGTGCAGAGAGAGGTGTTGAGGCTGGGTCCTCGCGTTGGGAAGAGGAGCAGGTTGGTGGGGGTGGAGTGAGAGAACTCTATTTCGAACATCTGAGGTTTGAGATGTCCTTTAGGCCTAGGAGCAGGGAGTGGCTGGGAGGGCTGGTTGCTGTGGGAGACTGGGGAGCAGGGTGGAGGTAGGGGCTGCAGGTGCACATCAGCAAGTCCCCAGGGTATAAATGATACGTGAGTCCCTGCAACTGAGGAGATCACGTGGAGAGATTGTGCAGAGGGCTAGACGAGCCTGGGCAGGGCCCCGGGCACCCCAGCTGTTGGAGGAGAGGCAGTGGGGAAGGGGCAGCAAGGGAGGTGGGGGAACCAGGAGAAGGAGGGCATGCTGTCGGGGCCAGGCTGGCTCCAGGGCTACAATCCATAGGCAAGACGAGAGCGTCTGGAGAAGATGCATGCTGTGTCCGTGGCCTTGGTGGTGTGATGGTTTCAAAAGCATCATTTACCCCCAAACACATTGAGTTGTATATATTTAATATGTACCCTGTTTACATGTCAACCATACTTCAATGAAGCGGTATTTAAAACAAGCAAGAAAGGTGGAGGGTAGTAAAACAAGAGTCCATTCAGCCCAGTGCTGTCTGGGGATGCACGAGGCAAAGGCTTGTGATGAATTGTGGCTGAATCTATCCATCCCACCAGCTTTTATGTTGGGCTGCTCATGGCCAGCTGCTGGGGGTATAGGGTTCCTATTCATTTATTCCCACTTCGTTGTATCCTGAGAACACTTAGAGGGAAGGCATTTCATGAAGCAGTTAAACCACTGCTTGGGAAGCCTACATCCCAATGTATCACAACGCTCCACCCACTGCTAATCCTGGGAGGCAGCAGGTGATGGCTCAAGTAGTTGGGTCTCTGGCACCCCCGTGGGAGACCTGGATTGAGTCCTGGACTCCTGGCTTCAGTCTGGTCCAGACCGAGCTGTTGTGAACATTTAGGGAGAGAAATGGCAGATGGCAGATCTTTCCCATTCTGTCTGTCTCTCTGTCTCTCTAACCTTTCAAATAATAAATAAAAATCGAAGTATTTGAAAACCATTAGGACACCTGCCAGGCATTCCTCATAATTGTTAATGCATTGAATTAATAATAAAAACAGTTATTAGTTTCTCATAGAAGAATTTGATCCTGTCAAAGAGGCTTTTGTCTCCATTTTACAGATGAGCAAACTGAGACGCAAAGAGAGGCAGACCCAGCTGGGGAAGGGTCTGCCTTCCACACTTACTCCTCAGGCCTGAATTTGGGTCATGCACAGGTTCATGGGGAGACAGGGAGGTAAAGAGAGAAAGCCCAGCCCACCTTGTTGGGTGTCATGGCAGGGATGGGGGCAGCTTGAAACTGTGTGCCCAGAGAATGCTATGACAGACTTTGTGGGAGCTCAAGGGACGGCTCCACCAGGAGGAGGTGACCTTTGGGGTGAATTTCAAAGGGAGAGTCCAGGAGAGAAACTAGTCTGGTGCCACCACAACTGATGGCCAGTATTCCCTCCCAGCAGGTGCACAGTAGGCTCATGCAGAGGGGATACCCCAGAGAGCTTTGCAAAGGGACTGAATCGAGAAGGGGTCAGGCACATGAACCCACAGGCATGGAAACACACCTTGGGCCAGCACAGGAAGCCAGCACCCTGCCAGACCAGGCAAGGCCCAGGGCTGTGGGGAGAGTGCAGCCGGGGACCGCAGCTTCTGGTGGAGGGACCAGCCTACTGTCCACAGCACTGCTGGGACTGAGACCCCGACTTCCTTTCTCCTCACCCTGACTCAGCTCCTGCCTACACCTGCCCCTGGCTGCACCAGCGTCCCTGTAGGGCACGGGAGCCCAAGCCAAGCCTCTCAGATCAGAGTCCTGGGCCAAGAAAGCCAGAGCTACAGAAGGGGAAGACCCAGCACATGTCTTGGAATCCTTAAAATGTCCTGGGCACTGTCCTGAAGGTTTTGCACACATCACTCATTTAATCTCCCCAGCAACCCCAGGAGGGCCGGTGCAGTGGAACAACATGCATTATTTAATGTGCGCTTGCTCTCTTTCTCCCTCTTGGGCTGGGTGCGCACGTGGAGTTGTACTTAGCATGTGTTGATTGTGTGGTTCCCTAGTGCACCTGTCTGGAAGGACTGGTTCCTATCGGGGAATATCGCAATAGGC